AAGCGTGAGGCCCGTGGCATTTGCCGCATCTGACCCATGGTTAATCCGGCGTTAAACGAGCAACAATCTTCCATTTTTTTTAAACGCGACGTGTGGGGAGACAATAATAATTTCTGGTGTCGCACTGGGGTAACATATCTCAATGCTGTATTTTTGGGTTACTAGTACGAGGGGCATTTCACTCCAAAAATCCCGTACACTTCGTAAAAAAATCCGAAAAAAATCCGAACAAATCCGGAAAATCCAACAGATTTTCTCTTCAAAAATCCGCTAAAAATCCGCTAAATCCGCTAAAAAATCCGCGGATTTTTAAAAATCCGAAAATCCCGTGCGCTTCGTCAAACAATCCGGACAAAATCCGAACAAATCCGGAAAATCCAAACAAATCGGGAAAATCCAACAGATTTTCTCTTCAAAAATCCGCTAAAAAATCCGTGAAAAATCCGTGGATTTTTAAAAATCCGCAAATCCCGTACGCTTTTTTGGAGTGAAATGCCCCTCGTACTAGTACTTGTGGAATATAATAAGATCAATAAACAATAGTGTATCAAAAGTAAGTAATTTTACTGATTATTTTAACTGAGCATCAAAGTGAACACACATTAAAATAATTATTCTAAACTATTTGCTATAATTTGAGTTTGAGGTGGTAGAATATGTAATAAAATAACAAACCTTGTATGGATAAATGTTCATTTCACACACACGCTATTAACAGCTGCTTAATAATTAACTTATGTATTCATAAATATTTATACTCGATAGCATAGTCGATATGTAAAATGGTACATTATGTGGATCAAACTGGAACAAAACAACAACTGAAGTTCTAATTTTGGGAAATTTAGTAGCAAATATAATCCCTAAACAGCTCATCGATTTGTATGTTAGCGCTATTAAAAGTAGACAATATTGAACAGTGATCTGAAGTTATCATGCAACTGACAACGATATTATATCTCAAAATACCTGTATATGATGATATTTCACAAATATATCGGGATTTCTGGACCAATTTTAAACTTAGCAAGGCAAAAAGTCTCCATTCAAGAATATATCTTCTTATCAAAAGGTAAAATACCTAGAATACTTGATTAAATTGTTTACTTCGACGGTATGTAAATTAACAGCGTTTGCTTGCAAGACGTCAAAAACGGACGATTTCAGCGCGCTGTCGTTTATCGCGTATTCATTTGCCCAAAGAAGTATTTACGTCAATTGAAAGCTTGTTTATTAAAGAGCCAACTAGCAGAAGCATGATCGATTTGGAGCTTTATCCCATAGTGAAAATCGGTTTTGTTAAGAGGGTATCGTAAATGAAGTAAGATAGTGTGCTCCAAAACTACGATTGTTTCTATTCCTAAAAGTAACTCAGATTTCTTGTAAGTCACGTACCCGGTCCTTTGAATAACCGAAAACAAGATTTTTAGGGTTTTAGATCGATTAGAAACGGTTGTCGTCGTGAAAATTGTCGGTAAAATCAGCGCATATTTTCCCAGACAAAATGGCGATTTAGGGTGGTCGTGTTAAAACGGCATTTTCTCAAAGTTAAAAAAGCATTTGGCCTAAAAAAATGTATGGTGCATTTTCCGATATAATAAGGTATATCTGGGCAAAATTTGAGCAAAATCGATTTTTCAGTCGTGGCCGCGAAATATCGCATATGTTCGATTTTTACTGACATTCACTCTTAATAACGGACATGGAAATAAAAAATGCTGCCAAAAAACTTAAGAAAAATCAGACTTTTTCATTGGAAATAAACTCATCGAAAAAACTCAAGAATACACCTACCTTGGACTCAAACTTTCATCTAACGGATCATTTACTCAAGCAATTAAAACATTAGCAGATAAAGGAACACAAGCACTATTTCTAA